AAGGTGCCGATAACACCCCTCGGAACGGCTCTCAGATTTTGTAAATGACATCTTGACATTTATTTAGTCTTCCGTGGTGGTGGATAGTACAATATCAAAGGCGACAAAGATCGATGACAGAGAGATGTTACTATGATTTTCCCTGATTTATTTCCATCGGGGGAATTCCCTCACGACTAAGCAAATAAAGTACATATGTAACTGGCAAGATAGTTTCATGTCATTACTAGGATATGGAAAGAGGATTCTTCGATGATAAACCGCATGACTCTATGCATACCACCTTAGGAATCCTACGGATTCACTAGTCCTCGATCTGGAAATCAGCAAAGAATTCAAGAATCTTCATCGGATTCTTCTCGGTCTGCACGCTCAGAGATCCAGTTAAACACCTCCTCCTTATGCTCGTCAAGCATCTCGTTCAGATTCGACTTCGGGGATCGAACCACCTGTCCGTAGCGCTTGGAAAGAGGCTTTCGGTCTGTGCTATTCCACACACCATGGGAGTTTGAAACAAACACAAGGGAGTTCTGAAATGGAAAGAACAAAGAAAAAGGAATGAGTAAAAGATATCATAAAATAATTTATAGGAAGCTTACCTCACGATACCACTTCGATAGCCAGGTCTGCGTGTGAGATGCGACCGCGCGGACGGCATTCTCAGATACGAATGAGACAACCCCGCTGACACGCTTGTAGAGATTTTCTACCTCAGTTAGAAGCAAATCTAAATGATACTCAATTTTGGCCTGAACGTACCTCTGTTAATCAACAAGTTCGTCACGCCTAAGAAAGCGTTGCCGACGCCGAGCAGGAAAATGTCGGTTGCCTGGTTCGCACTTTGACGATTCGTCAGATCAATGATATTCAACGTTTTTGGCTGGCCATAGCTCACTCAATGTAATTGTCCCATAAGTATCCAGCAAGTTCCTCAGTGGCAGACGGGCGGTCCTCATCCTCCGACTTGTATTGACCGGCAACCTAAACCCATTCGAATGAGCCGATGTCTGTACAAAGAACTGCACGGCTATACTTACCGCTTCCCGAGATACATGCTTGGGAATGTTGACATCTATGACTGCGTAGCCCTTACCCACGATCCATTTCACATACTCGGTGAGTGAATCGGCCTTTTGTCATGTTAGCGGACAATCTCAATCAATCATATTAGATCACAAACCATCCAAACATTGTGCGCTTCCAACTTGTTGGTCACGGGATGAGGCTGTCCAACAATCTCAGGTCTAGATACTGTGAGTCATACGTTTTGTGGCTTAATGTTGGAACACTCACGGGTCGTGGAAGATGACAATAAGCGGCACACGCTGGTGGTAGTTAGGGCTGCCAGATGGTGAGTCTCAGGTTAAAGTATCGAGATTTGGTAACGCAGCTTACCTTGCCAGAACTTGTTTGTCAAATGACTTCGAGATAGCGGTGCGATAGATGTGCAACGGGGTGAGTTTGCAACTTTCATACAGCTGGTTCGATTGGTAAACGCGAAGAACATCTAGAGAACTCATCAGCTCTGCCGATTGGGAGGCAATTATAATTCTTACCGTGGAGGCGATTCGCATAGACCGGGTGATCAGATGTCTTGGGGTACAGACGACTCCAATACTGGGATTGAATGCTCCTCACCCGGCGGACCGCTGCAACCGCAGAGTCGGCGGGAGAGCTGCTCAACAAACGGTCCGGGGGCTCTCCCATAAGGGTCTTGGTCACAGCCAGAGCCGACTTTGAAATAGACTTGAAGTTGTATCCACCCTGTTTCGAGATCAGGTCAAGCAAGCAAGAGTTTACGCAGGTATTCTACTGACCTCCAGGCAGACAGCGACCTTTCCATTGGCCAAAGTCATGAGCATGTGAGTCATTTGGGCATAACAAGCTGGCGATACAAAGCAGCCACCCAGCACATCACCAGCGGCAGCATCGAACCCAGCAGCAACTATTGTGGTCAGTAACTCTAGACTCAATGAGAGGAGTATACTCACTGATTACCAAGTCGGGATCAAATTCTTGGGCGATGGGCATCACCACTTCCTGGAAGGCGAACATGTAGTCACCATCGCCCATACCCTGGTCGGGCCAAGGAATATTGACATTTCTAGGGAGGGTCAGACTTTGATTATCTCGTGTGCTCAAAGACAAACTCACTTTCCGACTCCAGCGCCTGAGCCACACTGATCCCAGTCTCCCGCAGGGCCTCCAGGATAGAAGCGACCGTCCTGATAAACATGCATAGAGATGTAAAGAACATTAGGGTCATCGTAAAATGCTTTCTGGATTCCGTTGCCTACGGTATGTGAGCCTGATTGTTTTCAATCACATTAAGAATTCAGCGTACCATGGTGAACGTCCCTGGTACAAGTCAGTATTGGTATATGGTCAAATTGTGGATGATACTGACCAGTCAAGAATCATGATCTTCCGGCACGCGTCTCCTAGCCTATTTTGACAAACGCGTGCTGCAACACACACGTTGTTAAACAGACAGAATCCCATCGCGGCATCATCCTCGGCATGGTGACCGGGTGGGCGAATGACGGCTATGGCATTCCTCACCTGACGCTGGGCGACAGCCAAGCATGTCTCAATTGCGCCTCCAGTAGACAAAATGGCCGAAGCGAAGGTCAGGTTGTTGAAATAGATGGAGTCGCGATCTTTCTCCAGCTGAATAAGGACCTCGTTAGGCATATCTATTTATCCAGTCAGTGAATCTATCAAAGCCAGCTTTTCTGGTGAATGCGAAGACATACCAGTTGTGCTGCGAACAAATGCATAATGGGCATCAGTATGGATGAGAGTCACTTCCTCCTCGGTTGCATTGCGGGCGTGGATCCGTTGCAAGGTTTTGGGCGCCAAGGGTCGAGATGATTCCGGGTCATCAACAAGACCGGCGCGACATAGTTCCTTGTAGATGTAGTAAATGCGTCGGGGATCCTCCGGATGAACGTCACTTTGTGGGCGAACCTCACAATGGTAACGCATGCGATGGTCATAGCAAAGTCCTGTGGCAAGCGACGCCAGTGGAAGACCTGCCTTAGCCATGACCTCGTCGTCAGACCAGTCAGAGTCAGGTTCAACTAAGCTATCCCGTTTTAACTGTTCGGCTGCAGAGCTATCACCGTCGCTTGTCTTGGTCAAGCGTTCAGGAGGGGCCATTCCGGTGGAGACGATGGTCTCCTGAGGTTGAGATTGCTCAGAGCCAGGTGATAGGGATATTGGACCCGGTTGAGGGATTGAAGAAGGGGCAAAATTTGGGGTGGGATGATTGCTGAGATGTGTGGGAAGGGGAACTTCGGTGAAAGATGGGTTTGCAGTCAGGGTAGAGACGTTATGGGAATCGCCCATAACTGTATCCTCGTCCTCATCCATCACGAAAGGGGAAGCCACGAGAAGCCCTTTGGTTCAATTCAAGCTTTGCTCTGTTTAGCTCATTACAGAGCAGTATCACAAAAGAGCCTTTGGGCTTGTCTAGCAATCTTGGAGCTTGATATCGAACTAAAAGCGCTTTGATTGATGCTTCTGGTTCACGCCGTGGGATGCACCTTGCACAATAGAGTGTAAAATAGATCAATCGGTCGAATGTTCCAGTCGTCAATCAATGCTTGGATTTTCACCAAAGATTGCAGTAATGCTTCAAAGTGTGCTCTATGCAAACGTAAGGACTGGTATACAATCGTTTCCTGCCGTAGATCGGACTGACACTGCAATTCACCTGGAGCGTAATAAAGCCAGAGTGATCTTTAAGTGAATAATTTTCACAAAGAAATGCAATTGCAGACCTTAATGTAGTGGGTAGAAATCAAGGACAGAATAGCCAAGTCCACTGAGTGACAAAGGGAATGGATCAATGTGCATGTTGGATCCCTTTTGGGCCAGGCTTTCTTAATGCCTGACATAATTATGTTCACCGCCCAACTGACCGCTGCCAGGAATGGATCGGCGTAATGCGTTATAATTGGCGGTGGGTACTTAGTATGTGCTGACTTATCCCTCTCCACGGTTTAGAGGGCGTCCAAGGTGATCATTGAAAGGTTTACAAGCATACAGATGAATTAACTTACATTCAATCTCAGATACCGTATAAAATTCTATTGGCCTATAGACTCAGGTGGTTCTAGAATAAACCATTAGAGCAGGTTGGCCACTTAGACGGCCTCTGTATCTAGATCCTAACGTATGTTGTAGTGAGGATGAGATGATAGTAAGACCTCTCGGGACGTTACATTTAAGATACTACCATGCTTCTAAAATGGCTTTGCTGAACAAGAGATTTTGGTTATCATTTCTTCTGAGTGTAAGATGTATAGCCAGAATGACGATCATTGCTAGAATCCAGTGCAAAGCAAATTTTCCATGTACAACATGTGATGTACCTACATATGCTGTACGGAGTACGGAGTACATACAGACTGATTTCCTCTGTCACTTCTTGGCGTCCCCTTTCCGCTTTAGTACGCAGTCCTGGCTGCTTTTTGGTCACTGAGTATTACATAACCACACTCACTGGCGGGCCCGGCGCACCCATGAGCTGAGCGTAGTTACGAGCGTAAGTTACATCAATAAAACGCAACGCACTATTTACATCACGCGTGACTTTTCTACATCTGTAATCCCAACGAGAATTAGGCCGCTACCCCTGGTTGCATTTAGCCACCAGGCCAAAAGGCTAAAGAGAAAACCAGAACGTCCGATTAGGTACCGAAGGGATATAAAAATCCCTTGGGGACCATAAAGATTCTACGATGGTCTCACGTGATAACCTTGGAAATGCATGTATTGACGTATACAGCGGGCTGAAACTGCCCGAACAAGGGGAATCTTTCAATTTCCAATAGTAGGTTAAAGACATACAGACACTACGAACAAAAGCTTCGCTGTTGGCTTAAAGGCACCTGGATCTGTATCGCTCACTTTGGGTAGTGAAGGCAGACATGAGATGTCGACATGTCAGAGCATTGAAAAGGGTGTATATTTTAACTGGCTACCCTGTGCACTTACCAAAACCCAGGAAAAGAGAGATGTGAAGCAAGTTCAAAGACATCCTTATCCTTTTTGGTATGTTCCTTGACCAATTCCTCTCTCAACTCAAGGGCCTCTCCCATATCCATTTGCACCACAGACTCAACACCTTCGCCTTTGATCCAACCAGTCTGCTGGGGTGGAACGTTCCGCGTAGAGCAAAGCCGGTAGGTTGGGTCGACAAGGGACAAAGTGAGGAAACGACAGCGGCCAGGCTTGGTCTTGTCCTGAAGCTGTAATGGCCCCATTCGGCGCTGAAAGGCGTTGGGGAAGGAGATCAGGCGGCCTGGGGGCATCTTTACCTCCCCGAGCCGTTGCCAGGCTGGACTACCCTGAATCTTGTCGTATCCGAGAAGTTTCCCTATATACTTGAGGTCCCAGAGGGAATGCTTTAGGAATATGTCATCATCCTCGTCGTCTGAATCCGCGGCACCGATTCGATCGTAGACCCAGGTAGACCCTAGGTCACACCTCTGCCGGAAGCTGATTTGCGCCTCGGATATATTTTCCGAATCAAGCACGTAGATAGAATTGGCGGCTATATGTTCGTTTGCATTTCCTTCGATGTGCCACTCTTCGCCAGGGAAGGATGGCGTCTCAGGGTCTAGCTCGATGCTGTGGATCCGGGCGACAACCTGAAGACCCTGCCCCCGAAATTCATCCTGCAATGAAAGCGTGTAGAACCGGTGATCCGTATCTCCCTCTTCTTGTGGGAGGTACTTCCATCTGTAGGGTCTCAGCCAGGGGTGTGAGTTAAAGAATTGACCCAGTTCATGATCCGGTTTGCAAACCCACTCGTCGTCCGGCGGGCCAACGATAGCTTTCTTGGTCCTTCCGGCTTTCCAGTCTGCATACGAGTACACTGTTCCTGGGTCCGAGTGCTCAAAGACGAAGGTACTGGCATACTTCGTCAAAGCTGTGCGAAGTAAGCCCCAGCGGATCTTCCAATCCTCTGGGATGCTCTGCGTTCTGATTTTATCCCAGAGTACCTCGTCCTTGGATTCAGGTTCCTGAATGTATGCCTCCACTTGGGCACACATGGCTTCATATTCCTCCGCAGAGAGTTTACTCTCGTCTTTCCTGGGGGGCAACTTTTCCGCCCATTCAGGGAACTGGGCCTTCCACTCGACTCCGTAGGTGCGTATTCGCATGGGCTCACGCGGACAGTGGATGCAATTCCAGTTAAAAAGGCCGCCCGCTTTCAACCACTTGTTACGAACCATAACGTCGTTCCATTGCTTAATGCTGGCGGAAATCACAGTCTCGACAGCAGAGTAAATCTCGCTATTCGTCGGATGGAGATCGTTGATATAAGACGAAATCCGAACATCCGTAGACCCAGGGGGACCAGTGAATTCCACTTCACACGGTAGCCACTGGAATTTTGAGGACCAGACGTACCTCCCGCTACCCCATGACCAGGTTGACCCCCCCTTTTGCCAGTTGGGGGAGTTCCGAAACCATCGGGCCCTCTTTACTGCGCGACGACCAGGAATGCTCGTTCATTCCACACGATTGTCCATCGGCTAGGATTTTCGTTCTTCCATAGACAAGAGGAAAGAGAGATGGGTCGACGAAATTCAACACAGCTGACTCTGACTTCTGGCGGATAGTTTGATGAGATAACAGGTCGACGGAATTCGACAGCTGTAATTTCAGGTCGGAAGACACTGCCGTATCGGATTTACAGACACCGCTGCTCGTGTTGAAGACGACGGAACTGCCATCTCGATCGAATTTTTGAGCCTTGTCTTGCAGTTCTTGCAAGCACCAATCCCACGTTTTGTCATTGATCAGCGGCGACGATGCAACAGCGTCTTCTCGCCATTGAGCGATAACTCGCTGGTCAAAGATGTCGCGGTGCCAATCCGGTCGGTCGGTGATGGAGTTGATTAAATTTAGCATGGCTAGTTCTTTGACCGTGAGAATGGGAGCGCGCCACTCATTCGTGCCTGTGGCGAATTGATCGTGGGCGAGTAATACATTGATGGGAAGATCATTGAGGCCGGGGACTTGTAGCGGGGCTGATTTATTATCCAAGGGGGTCTGGGTGATCTCGATCATTGTTCAGTAAAGTGGTGAGTTACGAATGAAGAAGATGGAAGAAGCCCCGATAATTATAGGAATAACATGGTACCTAGGTACTTGTAGTCACCTTGCCATCAATCCATGGATCCCGGGCGGCTTTACCGAGGGTGGGTCCCAAGGTTTATACACAATTACATAAATTACACAAATTACTGAAATTACTGAAATTACCCAAACAGAAAGTTTTCAATTAAATCTTACAATCTTCAACCCAATTTCCGCTCTATCTCCTGCCACCAGTCTGGCAACAAAATCTAGATGGAAATGGTAGACTACTAGACGAAATTAAGACGCAGTCACAGTGATTTTGAACCTCAGGCAGTTGAACCACCAGGTAAGCTAAACCGCCGGAGATTCTAGAACAAGCTAAGGACACTTTTCCTTCAGTTTAGCAAGCGACTCCTGTACCTCTCGAATGACCGCCTGATGTATCGCGAATTCCATGTCATCCCCATTCTTTCTCGTCATCTTGCGCAGTTTGTTTGCTGCCTCCTCGAGCTTCTTTGCCAAATCCTGGACGCCCTCGTTCTTTTCCGCCGTTGCTTGGATGTCGTACGTCTCATATTTCAGCCCATCGGACGTCGTTGCTAACTTCCTTTCCAACGTTATACCCAATTCTCCCTCCAACTTTGGGATGAAAAATTTCATGTTGTCCGCCTGCCGCAATTCACTCTCCAGCTCCAATGCTTCGATCATTTTTCGTTTATGGTCCGGGTATTTAGGTTTCTTGGTAGTCGTCACGATTGCCCTTGCTTTCCGAATGGCGACAGACAAGGAGTGGGCTTCAGGGTCCTTCTCAAAGAATGTTTCTTGGTCGTATTCGGCGAAAAAGTGCGCTTCTCGGAGTTTCCTGGAGGTCTCCCGTAGGGACGTGTCTTCGGCATCGTCAAAGATCTTTACAAGCTGGGACCAGTTTTCTTGATTTTTTCCCCGGGCCTTGTTGCTGCTTATGAATTTCACAAATTCGGCAAAGCTGCACCCCACTCTCCCCTCAGGTATAGGGCACTTGCGAGCAATCGCACGACGTTCTGGATTTGTGACATGCTGCAATTCCAGCAGATAGGCTTGGTAGAAAAAGACGGTTTCTGCTCCACCGGCCGCGCTGAGCGCCTCGACGGTTCCAGGTAGCAGCTGAATGAGCGTGAAGAGGAGAAGCAATGGCAATCGCTTCATGGTAACGGAACAATCGACGACGGACACCAGGGTTGTCAATTCATGGGTAGATGATAGAGAATGAGGAAGGATGATATAGATATGCTTGGTTATCACTTAACTACTTGCCTCGGGCGAGGACCAAATTATATACTCTACGAAACTGAAACCAAACTATCGACTACCTCCTAGGCTTTTTCCCCTTTCTACCCGAGGACTTCCTCTAGTGGCCTGCCTTGACCCAGGGGACTTCTATTACTACTATAGATTTCTCCTTTGTCACAGTTTATCGAGAATCTAACGTTACAGTTCCCGGTGAAGCCGTGTATAGTATGGATCCCTCGGTACGGCTCTAGATCTCTTCCAGCTGGAACCCAGTCAGGCTTTGGCGAGTTAGGGTCACTTGTGCTCGCTTGTGAGTTCCTAGATCCCATATTGACTCCAAGTCATGAAGAGAACGTTCCTGGACTCGCAGGGTCTCCACATTCCCAGTACGGTGTTCCTCCGTTGAACGTGACATTCATTGCTTGTAACTACTTGTAACTACTTGTAGTAGTCTCCTAAACGGTACTTGGCAGCGATTCTATCCTAGATTAGTGGCGAATATTTAATAAGTTGTTACGAACTAGTACAGAGTTAGAGGGCACGATAACCAGTGCCAAGATGAATCTAGGGCAGCTAAGGTCAAGCCGAGAGATGGGGCGAAAGTCGGGATTTCTCGGCTAGAAATTTGGACTAGTCTGGGGCCAAAGGTTCAAGTAATTTAGCGCTTTAATCCAAGAGCGTTCGAAATATGTTCTCCTAAGCTCAAAGGACTGTGTTCGCAAGGCTGGCGACTGATTACATATCTGACCCGGTGGGTCCAGGTACACTTAAGCTTGTAATTTAACTGTGGGCCAAAAACCCGTTTTGATGTGACCGAGACGCCACTCATTTTACGCCGTATCTAGAAGCCTAGGGCTAATACCGTACTGTACGCTAGAGCACCTGCATATCCCCGATTCACTTTAAGATCTTTTATATAGACCGTCCCCACATTTCCCCATCAAGGTCTTCCTCCGTTGAATGTGATATCGCGTGTAGGAAATTATCTCATAGGCTATAAGCCGCCACAAGTGAGAGTCGCAGGTGAGCCGCGTCAAAAAGTGAATCTCAACAACACTGGTATACACCAGCTTTTTGTATCGATACGGGTTTGATATATATTTGCTTGTTTCAAACAATTGAATGATCTAGTGATTGATTTCAACAATCGACATATTAGCCTACCAAATGATAACAGAACGTATCACGAACAGTTTCAAAATTTCAAACCACCTAGGTGTCCTAGAAAATAGTCGATTATAGGATAATACCTAGGATAACCTAAGAATAAGCCTAGGTCAAGTCTAGAGATCCATCCCAGTCTCACACTAAGGGCTCCCGAGGTGAAACATGGTATGATAGCGCTTCGCTTATAAGAAAAAGACTGTCGATTTCGGATACTGCGTACTGCATAGATATCGCCAATTCTCAGCCTGGCTACTAGCGCGAGTGTAATCCCAATCGGGCCAAGTCTAGCAAGGGCCTGAGGTTCCTGTCGCAAATACTGGTTCGTCTGCCATGTGTGTGAACCCATTATCACCTCACTAATATCGACCAAGTCTTAAGAGTCCCAGTGGATATGAGGGATTTTTCAGCTCACCTGAGCATCTTAGAGAAAAGGGGTTTTTGCAGAGCTTTTCTATGATAGTGATAGGCGCCAGCAGGGTACTTATATTCACTCAAGTCCCTCATTTCTGTATATCAAGTCTAGCCACCATTTCCTCACGCTTCTTTATCTATATCTTGTTCAATTCTTTCCTATGTCTGCTTAAAAGCTGCGCCATTCCTTAAATTGCCAAATCCAAGGCTCTGAGGCTCGGCACAATGAAGCCTCTACACTTACTTCTGATTTTATCAGTCCTGATAAAGAACGCCCTCTGCCTTGCCACAGTGGTAGTTCCAGACATTTCGTCGTCCACCTCCGAGAACCGAACCTTTAGCCACAATGTTATTCAGGCATTTGCACGTCTGAACGGTACTTGGTCCCCGAAGATTCGTTCGTATACAACGTTTGAGGATCTGGCGAAAGTCCTATCATGGCACTCAGCATATCTCGGCAATGCTACAAATTCTTCGACTTACTTAACTCATCGAAGCCATCACATTCACGGCCCTTCCTCAAGGCGCCATCACCACCGTGGCTCGTCCATTGATCACCGATCTTCTCACTCGACAAGCGATGTGCTTGTCACCAGAGCGAAGGAGCCCAAGGCTGTCTTTGCACACTTTATGGTAAGCTTGACTACACATATGATGTTGGTAGTACTTCTACCTCTGCCTGACGGGACTCCACTGCGACTCTTCTCGTCATCCCACAACCACTATCCCTGAACTAGGCTATCAACATACTATCTCTTCGATTAGGCTAACTCCTTCTTAGCTCGAAAATGCCAGAGAATGGGACCTAGGAGACTGGGAGCACGAGATCAACCTCGCCCGCGAGGCCCACATCGACGGTTTCGCTCTCAACTTCGGATCAGGTGTGGACTACAATCTAGCTTTCCTCAAGGCCTTTGTCACCGCCGACAAATTAAGCTTCAAATTTGTTCTCTCCTTCGACTACGCTGGCAACGGTCCCTTTGCCAAGGATGATGTGATTGACAGACTCCGTGACTGGACGTCATTTGGTGCGTACTATCACTTCCGAGGTAAGCCGCTGGTCTCGACATTTGAAGGGCCAGCGAATGCGGCAGACTGGGTGCAGATCAAGGCCGAAGTTGACTGTTTCTTCATGCCGGATTGGTCGTCGCGGGGAGCTAAAGATGCGTTGGCACTGAAAACAGCGGATGGGCTGTTTAACTGGGCGGCTTGGCCGTGGGGAAATACAGATATGGATACGTATGTTGATGCGTCGTATCTGGATTATCTGGAGAGAAGTGGAGGGAAGCCCTATATGATGCCGGTTTCGCCGTGGTTTTATACTAATCTACCCGGATATAATAAGAACTGGCTCTGGCGCGGTAAGTGACATATCTCACTCTTGTTGTGCTTCGTCGTGAGATGGGATCTTCTTGCTGACAGATGACTGATGGACCAGGAGACAACCTGTGGAGAGATCGCTGGGAAGAGGTCATGGTTGTGCAGCCAGACCTGGTCCAGATCATCAGCTGGAACGACTTCGGAGAGTCACACTACATCGGCCCACTGCCTGAGGGCAACTACAAGGCCTTTGACGTCGGAAAAGCCCCTTACAACTACATTCTTGGGATGCCACATGATGCCTGGCGCAAGCTCCTCCCTTACTGGATCGACACGTACAAAAAAGGCAAGGCATCGATCTCCCAAGAGGAACTCGTTGGCTGGTACCGTCCAAATCCGGCCGCGGCTTGCAATAGTGGCGGGACATCCGGCAACACGGCCGAGCAGCTTCAGGTTGAGTTTGACCCTGCGGAAGTCGCCCAAGATGTCATTGTCTTCTCCGCGGTTCTGGCCCTCGAGGCTGATATATCAGTGACGGTGGGTGGGGTGGCACTGCCCGCAGAATGGAAAAACAAACCCAGCGGGGGCGTGGGTGTCTTTCATGGAAGCGTGGCTTACGGCGGTAACCGCGGTGCTGTCAAGATCGCTCTCTCACGCTCTGGAAAGACTATCGCCTCATTTACCGGAACAGATATCACCGAGAGCTGCCTGCACGGGTACACCAACTGGAACGCGTGGGTGGGGAGTGCAGCAGGCCCCAAAATCCCCAATGGCGTGTCTCCTAAGCTGGCTATCGACGAGCAAAAGTGTATCAGGGGCACCGCAAAGGGCAACTTCAAGGGCATTTGCGAGTTCACCTGCAGCTACGGATACTGTCCCCTTGGCGCCTGTGGCTGTCTAGAGCTCGGACCGCCCAAGAAGCTCCCAAAGCCAACGGGAATCAAAGGGTACCCGATTGCTGGCGAAGGGTCCAGCTATATCGGTCTCTGTGATTTTGCCTGTAACTATGGTTACTGCCCACCCGAGGCATGCGGAACAACTGAGGTTGCCCTAACCGAGCCCACAGTGTCGCCTTTCCTCCCATCTGCCTGCACTTCTGGCACGGGGCAGGACAGCTTTATCGGCCTTTGCCAGTATGCATGCGACTTTGGATTTTGTCCGATCAAGCACTGCACCTGTACCTCGACCGGAACATTGATTCCTCCGCCTCCTCAAAACTCAGAATACGATGGTAAATGGACATTAGACGGTGACGACTCGGGCCTCTGTAGCTTTGCCTGCACCCGCGGCTACTGCCCCGAGACCGCCTGCGAGGAATACCACCCCAATGAGGTCGTCATGTGCAACGATGACTCTGAAGATCTCCAATGCCTGGAATACGCCCTTGCAGAACCCGAACTGTGTGATCTGTCACTCACATTCAACACAATGGGGGGTCTCCAGAAGTCACTCTCCACTATCCCCAGTGGTTGCACGGGCATTCACGCAATGCAAGTCACCCTCAAGCTCCTGAAGGACACCAAAGCCAACTTCACAGCCGTCGACAACGACTACGACTACTGGTTCAAATATTACCTCAAGTACATGGACCGGGTCGTCCCGCAGCAAATCCGGGAATTTGTGTCCTGGGGCAACAAAGGGCCAGGCAATAAATACTTCGACTGCACGCTTCACGATGGAGAGCAACACGACCCGAAAGTCTGCCCTGTTCATTCCGTCGCCAGGTCTTATCATATAGACTACGATTTCAATGACGAGGCGGGATTCTGGAAGGGCGCGGCCGAGCGTGGGATCCAGAAAGACTGGGTTAGTTTTGAGGACTGGGACATTATCAATCCTTGTGGGCCTGTCAATCCTTCGCGGCCTGATACATGTCAGAATGGTATGATTGTGTTGGAAGATTTCCCGCAACCGGCGAAGAATATGACCTTCGCGAACCCCAAGGATATCATCAGCAAAAGCGGCGGTAAATTCGACCAGTTGGAGCTGGACATCGTAACGACCTGGACAGAAATGATGTTTGGCTTTTGGGACGGGGACTACGACGACGCAGTCGAGGCCGTCTCACTTCCTGTGTTTATGCTCGCACAGGCAGTCGAGTCAATGGAGGAAGTCAAAGAGCTCGGCAAGCAAGAAAAGGAGTTGGAGGAGACAGAGCTCATCATGAAGATTCTCACCGCTGTTCTGGTCGTTGTGCCCTTTGTCGGGGAGATTGCCGGCGAGATCGCGGGGCTGGCTTGGGTGATCGAGGCCGCGGTTGTGGTTGATATTCTTGGCAGCACGGCGTTGGGCGTGTACGATGCTGTCAAGAACAAGGCGAGCCCGGCTGTGGCGGTGGTGGATATTCTTTTGGGTGCTGCGGGTCGTAGAACGGGGAAAAATTATTCCAAGGCGGCGTCGAAGAAGCGGGAGATGGGAGCGGAGGATGTGAGCAAACTTGGGGATGTGTTTAAGCGACATGATGAATCGCTGAGAAAAGTGATTCCTGCGGACCGGTGTAAGGTTTGATGGGTTTAACGAAAATAATTTTCATTGAGAATAGAATAGAGTCCCAGTCTGACTCTAGAGGGGCGGCCTCATGTAAAGTGATAGGTGTCACTGCCCGAGAATATAGATGTTGTAGTTCGTGAGACATCAAACACCCTAGTCTTAACACTCCTAGAAAAATGCTTGACAAAGTAATCTGTACAGCTTACAAATTCAGGAATGAATTAGAAATGTTTCGTTTCATTAAATGACATTATCATCTTGTTTTTTTCTACAAGGCAGGGCCCTCATGCACCCATATCGGTAGGCTGTGCGAGAAGGAACCCATCACCTTAGAGAACACTTCTGACCCCAGGACGCTGTCCTGATTCCTACTGGCTATCCACACCGGCAATGTAGGAGATGAGATCAACAACACGGCGGGAGTAACCCCACTCGTTGTCGTACCAAGAGACAAGCTTGATGAAGTTGGCGTTAAGGGCGATACCGGCCTTGGCATCGAAGATGGAGGAGCGCTCATCACCGTTAAGATCGGTGGAGACAACCTGGTCCTCGGTGTAGCCGAGGATACCTAAAAAGTGTTAATATCTCGGGTCGAAAGAAATCAATAATCAAACAAAGCGTTCACTCACCCTTGAGCTCGCCGCTCTCGGAAGCGGCCTTGACGACGGCCTTGATCTCCTCGTAGGTGGCACCCTTCTCGATGCGGCAGGTAAGGTCGACAACGGAGACGTTGGCGGTGGGGACACGCATGGCCATACCGGTGAGCTTGCCGTTGAGCTGAGGGATAACCTTACCGACAGCCTTGGCGGCACCGGTGGAGGAGGGGATAATGTTCTGGGCCGCAGTACGGCCACCACGCCAGTCCTTGTTAGAAGGAGCATCGACGGTCTTCTGGGTGGCGGTGTAGGAGTGGACGGTGGTCATGAGACCCTCAACGATGCCGAAGTTATCGTTGATGACCTTGGCGAGAGGGGCCAAGCAGTTGGTGGTGCAAGAGGCGTTGGAAAGGACGTTGACATCCTTGGTGTAAGACTTGTTGTTGACACCCATGACGAACATGGGGGCATCGGCGGAGGGAGCGGAGATGATGACCTTCTTGGCACCACCCTTCAAGTGGAGGGAAGCCTTCTCCTGAGTGGTGAAGACACCGGTGGACTCGACAATGTATTCGGCACCGGCCTTACCCCAGGGGATGGAAGCGGGGTCACGCTCAGCGAAGAAGGTGACCTTCTTGCCGTTGACAATGAGGCCATCATCGACAAACTCAATGTCGCCCTTGAACTGACCGTGGGTAGAGTCATACTTGAGCATGTAGGCCTATATTTCACCGAGAGGTTAATATCAGGCTAGGAAATCAGTCGATCTGGGGGAAGAAACATACAGCGTAGTGAACCTCAATGAAGGGGTCGTTGACAGCGACAACCTCGACGTCAGGGTTGTTGATACTGTTTGGTCTAGGTTAGAATTGCTCGGGTCTTTTTTTTTCTTTCTCATTCGTGTAACTTACGCATTGCGGAAGACCTATGGTGTTGTTAGTATGTTTCCCGAGATCTGAAGAGAATCTCACTTACAATGCGGCCAATACGACCGAAACCGTTGATACCGACTTGGACAACCATGATTGCGGTTTACTAGAGCATGTTAGTAGAGAATCCCACAAGAAAATGATGAAATCTTACTGTAATAGTGAAGTAAAATGGAGGGGAAAGAATTGATGAAGAGAAGAGAGAAGAAGAAAGGAAGAGAGATCTGGGGGAGGGAGAAGATTAATGAATGGATGACTGACGCAATGGACAGATCACCCCTCACCGAACGTACAAGACGGGGACCTCTGGCATTCTCTTAGCATATCGGACTTGACACTGAATTTCCCGACTGTTGCCGCTTGTCTACCCAGCAACGCATTTCCGGTTTCATACACCGGGCAAAGCAGGAAGAGTCACGATATTGGGGGTCCTACGCTGCCCCTCGGTAGCTCCCGTCTACCAATAAGAATCCAGCAATTCAACTGCTCTTCGGGTTCTTGACTATTCTTCGGATCTTTTCTCTTGAATCTTTTGCCTATTCGGAAGTCTACTCGGTTACAAGGAAGATCACGATAATATTAGGTACTAAGAAATCCTCCAGAAATTCCCGAGGTTGAGATAGCTATGACGCTGGTGGAGGGGCAATGATGCTATGACTGAGGGGCAAAATATGTACCTCCGTAGCTACGGACTTATGGCACATACGGAGTACGGAGGATGGAGTACATAGATGTAGGACATCTACATGAGATAGATCTAACCTTTTATTGTCATTTAATGCGGGCCAACCCTCTGCGGTGGACGGATCGAGTATGGCGATATAAAAGGGTGGCTCCTCCGCCCTGAAAGGAGTCACCGGTAACCTCACATGGGGCCACGGGATCAGTCAGACTTTTTTCTGATTTGCTTGGAATTGAGCTTGGACGATTTCTAAGTACTGGGGTCCCCAACCTTGGGAGATTATCAATCCGCCTTTTGCCTCAATTGCCTCAATTCCCTGCCTCATGGCCTCAAAAAAGGAGATCTTACGTGGACGCATCCCTGCCATCAGTCTGAGACTGGATCAGGCCATCTGGACACAGAATGGCCGATACACCAAGTGGCGCAATCTCCAGCTATCGGCATCCTAGTCTACAAGATTGAGATCGTACAATACAGGATGGCATGACCGGAGGATTCAAGATTAACAATAAAGTCCCAAAGCCCTACAAAGGAGAGCTCGAACTGGGTATGATGAATTATGGATTATGGTACAATGGGGAGAAATGAACAAGAGTGCTATGATTCAAACCATCGAATACCCATGGGGGGAAAATAAAAAGAACAGTCAACTAATGGCCGAAAGCAACCAGGATGTGCATTTATTCCTCCTTGACACCCCCGCGCCAGTTCTTCTCGGCAGCCTCAATGGAGGCCTTGTCGCTCTTGGGTCCACCCTGGGACATGAAGCCACCAGCGGCCTTGAACGGACGGGCGAGATCACCCGTAGCGGGCTTGCCGAAAACGTGAATCTTGGCCAGGTTGGACTCGAAGGCACCCTTGAGGGGAATGATGGACTGGATAAGGAGAGGGTTGGTGTACTGGAAGTACAAGTGCATCACACCCATCATGCCGACACCCATGAGTTGGCTGCGGAGCTGCTGGCGCAGTTGAGCCTTGTCGTAATCCATGTTGGTGGTGGTCACGGGCTTGGGCTCCTCGGTGCTACCCATCGTGGCGGGCTCAACGTACTTGAGGGTTGTCATATCTGAAGATATTGCGCATTAGTTTTGATTTTTGGGGCCTGTAGGGAGAGCGCGTGATCAGCGTCAACGTACCCTTCTTCTTGTTGATCTGATACTGGGTGTATAGGTGGACAGCCAGGATGAGCACATTAGACAGAAGATAGCATCCGCGGACCAGCATCAGGACGTGAGGGTCCTCGAAGGGAACCTTCTTGGACAACTGCATCATCACCAAGATGATGGCGAGGTTGGTACTGTGCGACCATTGTTAGTTCTCAGATAGATATGGTCAATCATCAAGCAGTTATCCATACATTTGAGCAGACACCATTTTGCCGGACACTTTTCAATATGGAGAAATTGTTGAGTATGGGGGAGTACAACGCGAAACAAAACTTGAAAGTCGCGGGCCACCTGGCATTTCTGGAATGTCAGGGAGCCGGAAAATCAGTTCTCCCGGCCCTATCTCTATCGGCCGTCGAAGGCCTTAGGGTTTGTCGCCTGACATTTGAGGTTACAATATCATGTGATCTCCCCCACTGCTGGCCGGGAACTGTGATGGTCCAGCTTCAAACCAGACCAGCTTATTTTGCAAAACGTCAGCAACCACCACATTAGTGGTCTTCCATTATGGCTTGAAGTTGCACAATGATGTGGATTATTGAAGCCACTCAAGTTTCAGATGTGAATCATAGCCATTTATGCTGGAGACACCCATTGCACTCAAACGGCTGGAGGCGCACTTGGCTTCTTGATCGCCTCGCATGCCAAAACTAATCATGGCTTCTGTCTATTTTTTTTTGAAAGAACAGAAAAGGAGTCATAAGAAAACTATACAGCAACTAATTCTCTAGATCCAACTGACGCTACTGATGGAAATATCTCCAGGCAAGAAACCCAACGCCGTGAGAAAGGACAGTTCCATTTTGGGACTAGCGCCATGTGTCTTTTTTGGCACAGCCGGCGCCTGGCACATTCTGACTTCTCCATCCATCAACAACGCGCGTATCTTCCGCACTTCTAAATCGTCTCCACATCCACACCACTGCCAAATCGTCTTGATTTCGGTTTTCATCTACCATATTCACTTCTGCGACCGTCTTCGCACATTTATTTCGCAATGCCTGGCGGAAAGGGAAAGTCTATCGGTGGAAAGGGCGGAAAGGGTGATGCTGCGGGGAAGGCCCAAAAGTCTCACAGCGCAAAGGCTGGTCTGCAGGTTAGTGCGATCATTATTTGTCTAATTCCTGGACTAGGAGGTGTGTCGTCCGAGAGTGGGAATGTGATGGCGATGAGTTACTCGATGAAACTACCCCTCGAAGACGCGTCGCCTTGGATCCTCGTTGCTGCTCGATAAGGGGTAGTGTTTCTCGATATCCGTGGAGCTCATCCCATGTCGTCACATATCCTTACTCTCTCTCGACCGTGTTTCCCTCCCATCGCCAGCTATTTGAGATGACGCGACTGCTAACATAATCACGCTCTCTAGTTCCCCTGTGGCCGTGTCAAGCGTTTTTTGAAGAACAACACCCAGAATAAGATGCGTGTCGGTGCTAAGGGTATGCTATCCTCCTTGGACTGATCTCTCAAATGACCCGCCTCTCTAACACGTTTCCCCTCTAGCTGCCGTCTACGTTACCGCTGTTCTTGAGTACCTGACTGCCGAAGTTCTCGAATTGGCGGGTAACGCCGCTAAGGATCTCAAGGTCAAGCGTATCACTCCTCGCCACCTCCAGCTCGCCATCCGTGGTGATGAAGAATTGGACAC